TACATACATTGACGGCCTGGACCCGTGTGCGATTCAGGTCCCCGATCTCATGCCGAAGCCGGCCGACGACCAAGCAGAGGCCAGGGTTCAAGTGCATCACGTTGACTCCAAAGTGAGCGTAATGGGTGGAGGATGCCATGCCTGAACCGCCGCCGTTGCCGGCACCTCTGACACCTCCTGCCGATGACAAGCAGGACTCCCTCCACCTGCTCTTTCCAGCTTTAACTGCTGACTCTTCTGGCTCACCCGTTAGTGCTGGAACAGCAGGAGTTCAAGATGGAGGACATGCCCAAGCAGCCGGACTGTCTTGCTGGCCTCCCACCTGCCGTGCGATGCTGCATCCAGATGCCGCACACGAAGGTCCAGCTTGCTGCCTCTGGCTTCTATGGGTTTCTTCGCATGTCTGGAAGACACGATGTAGCAGCAGGGCTTCGGCATATTCTGCCCTTCTTGGATGGTACTCGGGTGCAGCAGCATTTGACATGTGCTTAGGTTGCCTTGGAAGCAGCAACGTGCTGCGTGGACCGCCACGATGGCAGAGCTCAGTGCCGTGCATGCGCATGGGGATCCTGGTAGCTTTCGGGACTTATCGCAGCCGGAGATGCAGAAGCTCGTGGCTGATGATGTGGAGCTGTTTCTGCTCACAAGTCCTTTTGCAAGCCTCGTGAACCACTGCTGGCAGCAAGACTGGTCTTCCATGCAGGCCACACGGTAGTTTCCCTGGGGCTTCCCGGACCCGATAATGTATCCTCAGACCCCGGGACCGGGTTCAGGGGTGCCTGGATACATTACGGCTCCCGGTGGTTCCCGGGCAATGTCGTGTGTCACCCACAAACCGTAGTCCATCCTAACATACCATAATCCAAAACATTCATCACCAACGACTCCTAGCTTGGGGCAGGGTTTGCTGGGGGCTTCCCGGACCCGGTAATGTATCCTCAGACCCCGGGACCGGGTTCAGGGGTGCCTGGATACATTAAGGCTGTCGGTGGCTCCCAGACAATGTCGTGTGTCACCCCAGAAACCGTAACCCCGACAATCCAGAACCTTTGCAACCAACGACTCCTAGCTTGGGGCAGGGTTTGCTGGGGGCTTCCCGGACCCGGTAATGTATCCTCGGACCCCTGGACCGGGTGCAGGGGTGCCTGGATACATTAAGGCTGTCGGTGGCTCCCGGGCAATGTCGTGTGTCACCCCAGAAACCCTAACTCCGACAATCCAGAACCTTTGCAACCAACGACTCCTAGCCTGGGGCAGGGTTTGCTGGGGACTCCCCGGACCCGGTAATGTATCCTCGGACCCCTGGACCGGGTGCAGGGGTGCCTGGATACATTAATGTGTCCGGTAGTTTCTAGGAAAGAGCCGATCCGTGACAGGCTGAGCTGCCGCTGTACGCCTGCTTTGACATCAACCAGGCCGATCCCTCCATTGGCCCAAACTCCAGCGTATCCTGCACTGTGAACTGTCTGCTCTTCTGCTCTGCCTGGTACAAGCATCCGAATCCAGACTTCATATGTCGTTGGCTGGAACAGCCGTGGGACGAAGCGCCGGTGCTGCGGTCCCTGCTGAAAGAAGGTGCTGCTCTCATGTCTGAATACCTTGCAGTCGTCCGTGAGCGACAACAGGCAGAGTTGAACATTGAGCTTGACATGTACACTTTGCCCGAGGAAGTGCAGCATGAGGTGCTGCACGGGCATTTGCGGGACAGCCCTCGATGGAACTGCCTCCGGCCCTTTCTGACAGATGCGACGTTCTCTCACATAGCATGCGGTGTGAAGCTGCAAGAGGCGACAGAGTTGGCACTCGGCCACAGGCTGTCCCTCACACGACTGCAGTCAGCCGCCTACTTTTTCGTCTGCAACCACAAGTCCTTCGTGGTCGTGGGCTGTGGTCATCAGAGCTCTGGTTGTGCCTTGCTTCTCTTTGACAGCCACGGCCTGAGTCTGCAGGCCACGGAATGCTCGGGCTCGGCTTTGTGCCGTGATGCTGAACAAGTTCTCGAGTACCTTTGCCGGCATGGCGAGCACTCCCTGTATGGCCCAAACCAGGTGACCCAGCTCTATGCCTCTGTCTTCGAAGGCACGGCAACGTCGTGCCAAGCCTGCCGTGCCCCAGCGTCAGAACTTCTGCGAAGTGTGCGAAGCATGACATCCCGGCCGGGAGACGGTGCAGGCTTATCTGTGAAGCCAGAGGCAGCGCCTACATTCGGCATGCCTTTGTCCAGCTGCTTCCCCGAGAGCCTGATCGTCCTGGAGCCTCCCTCGGAGAGCCCTGTAGGCACCCCGCCCAGGAAGGTGCCTCGTGTTGCCGGCTCAGAGACCACTCATGCTGCTTCAGAGGCGCTCGTGAAGAAGGAGGCTGCTGACAGCAACATGGACATTGACCCACCTGAGTTTCAGGAGGCAGCGACGGAGGACGTGAAGATGGAGGTGAAGACCGAGCCGGCTTGCGATGGCGATGCCGATGAAGAGGTGCCCCTGACTGCTTTGGTTGGGCAGCCTCCTGCAAAGCTGAGCGGTGCTCAGGCGAGCAAGAAACCCACCAAGGAGGAGAAGCTCCTGCTGAAGAAAGCTGATGCCATGCTGGCAGCCTATGGTACTGGTTTCCCAGCTTGGTTCAAGGTCCACTCCTTTCACGGGGTCAAGGGCCACTGGAACCAGTTCAAGCTCAAGCTGGCAGCGGACTCCATTGGTTCGCTGGGTTGCAGGTCCTGCTCTACCTTCTTCCGTTCCCTGGATGCCAGCAAGGTCCAGCAGCAACAGCAGCTGGTGGTGCCCAGCGAGGGCGATGAGGTCCCGGCTGGCGAGGTGGTGCTCCTGGATCCCGCCGCTCTGAAACCACAACAGCCTCGGAGCAAGATCACCGGTGCTGAGCGCCTGGAGGTGCTCAAGAGGGAGGAGGGCGTGGGCCCCCGAAAGGCCCCTCGGGGAACTGTCGTATCATGTCTAGTCTGCACAGGGGTCGCCTTGGCTTGGTTCTGCTTGTAGGATGCATGCTCATGACTCAGACTGCCCTCTTCCCCTCAAGGACGGCGATCAAAGACGTCGGTGCTTCCTCTCTGGATGCGTTTGTGGGATTGGGTCAAAGATAGGAGGAGCGACGTGTACATCCACACCCATGCTCTCAAGTTTCATTGCACCCTCTGCGAGGTTGAAGTCGACGCAAAGCGAGACTCCACTATCCATTTCCTGCTGCAGCATGAATGCTACGACATGCATTGGACCCGGGCCCACCCGGATGAGATACCGAGGCAGTGCCGAGGTGTGAAGATCATCCCACGATCCGAGTCCAGCCAGGAGTATCACATCGAGACGTGCACCCGTTCGCTGCAAGTCTGGATGGGCCTGGACTTTCCCTGGTCTGGCCAGCAGTCCCTCCCGCATGGCTGCTACATGGAGACTGTGGACTCCGAGGTCATCTGCTGGGTGCGATGCCGGCCCTGTCAAACGAGCCCTGCCGTGCTGCAGCCGGGCGAGGATGCTTGTGTGAACTGCCGAAAGCTCGCAAACAAGGAAGCCTTCGCATCCAAAGTAGCCTCATGGGTTTACCTAGTGGACTTGCTGTGTCTTCTGCATGCAACATATGCTGCGGTTCGGAAGGAAAGGAGGGAGGCACTCCAGGCCCTCGGCAGTGCAGACTATCGTCGAGTCCTGAGTTGCCACTCGGTGGCCCAGCTGGAAACCATGACGTGGCCGGAGCTGCACCAAGTGGTGCGACAGCAGGCCCCAGTGACGACACCGGCAGCCTTTCAGAACTCTGCGGCGCTGAACCTCCTCAGAACCAGGTTTCAGTGGCCCCCGACCACTGTCAACAAAGATGCCATCAACAAGCTGGACCGTCAGCACTTGCAAAAACATCTCGAGTTCCTAGTCGGGCAAGAGACCGAGGCCGGGTTCACGTGCATGCTCTCCGAAGAGTTGCGGCAGGGCAGGCTCGACAGCATGGAGTGCTGCCGAGTCCTCATGAGTTGGTTAGCAACGCGACTCAGGCTGCTGTCGGCGAACCAGAAGCGGCTGACAACAAGCCACGTCCAAGGCGTCACGGACGCCCAGCTCCAGGACGTCGGCTTCTTTTTGGCAAGCATCAGCAGCACCAGTCAGTTGATGGAGCTCTTCGGTCTGAATCCTCGCGAGTTGAACAAGCCGCCATCGTTCGACGAAGCCTTGCCGGATTTTTTCTGTGCCTCCGCCGAAGAGCCGGAGCAAGCAGGCATGAGGTCGACCCTGTTCCGCAACCTGCAGACGACGATCGGGATCCTGGGTGTGGCCCAGTCGCGGTCCTGGGTCTTGTCCTTCGACGAGACTGTGACGTGGCCGGCCTACGGCATCTACAACAGTCGCAGCCACGGGCGCTGCTATGTAGGTGGCGGGGATGAGATGTCCATGCTGCCATGCTCCGATCACTATGCGAGCGACTTGAAGAAGGAAAACCTGGCCCAGTGTGTCTTTGCAGTTCTAGTGACTCTCAGCTCATCGCCTAGAATCAAGCTTGCCTAGGTGTGCGATTGTCTAGTGGAGTTCTTTCTTTATGCAGTCATCTGTATTCGGATCCCAGGAAGCGGGTGGAGACCTTCCGCCACCCGTACTGCGTCCTTCTCCAGCCGAGACGCCTCAAGGCCATCACGAGCCAGAGCAATCTCTGCAAGATCGGCAAACTGTGGGAGCTGGCTGCCGAGTGTAACGGTGGCATTCCGCCACTTGCGAGCAGCCATGACAACGCCACGACGCAGGTGGTGTTCAGCGAGGTGATGCTCGGCCTGGTTCCGCTGGAGCGTTTGGCGGATGTTCCGCCTCCCGACTGCTGATTCCTAGATAATCCACGAAGGTTTTAGCGACGTCCTGCAACATAACCCCCCTTTGTGTCATCCATAGAATTTAAGGTTCTTCAAAGAGTGCAACCACACGCGGAAGCTGCCCATCATGATGTACCCCTTCCGCTCATTAGAGTTCAACGGGCACATAATCTTGAACCAAAATGATGCGGCACACTGCCAAAAAAACATGGTATCGGCCACTCGGGGCCGCAAACGCTGCTTCACCATCTGCGGCCTTTGGATGACCCGCAGCGTTCAGCTGCTCCCGACGATGCAGATGCCGTTGCACGCTTACATCGGGCACGACCTTCAGAGCGACAGAGAGGCCGCATGGGCGCTAGCTCCGGGATGCCTAGATATGGATGCCTGGGACAGTGTCGCCGTGACACTCTTTCAGCATCTTGGCCTAGTACTTGTCCTTCTAAGCGCGATCACAGCCATGCGTAAGCAACAGAATCCAAGGTACCTCGTCTCTTGCGTGAGCGGCAACTGGCTCTCTGCCGTCTTCACCCCGCCTCAGCTCTTGGAGAACGGGCTCACCGGCTTTTTCTGGCTGTTGCTCGAAGTCATGGCAGCACGGCAGGCTGGTGGTAGCAACTGGCAGAACCAGTTCCTGGCCAGGGCAACGGTGCGAAACAGCCTCTTTTGCTGTGCTAACATGATCGAGTGGGTATGCCGATACCCGAACTCCGACGGCAGCTTGGCCTTTGCTCCCACGAAAAACACCGAGCAGGTAGGGTGACTAAACTTGTCAGCCTCTCGCTCTAAGATCTAAGACTCGTCCCTTGTAGCCCCTCCTGTCCTGAGCCTCACCGCATGAAATCTCGTTAGCATCCCCTGACCTCACGAGGTCGTGGAGTACTGGTTCGGCCAGGTAAAGAGAGCTGTTGGACACAATGTGCCGTCGCTCAAGGCGTTCGTGCTGGCTGCTGAACGACTTCACTGGTCTCAGAAGCATCGCGGCCTCCAGCTGCCGTCAAAGACTGTTACCTGGAGCGGCCAGAACCTGAGTGCCGGCGAGGCCCTGCCGAGATCAAAGACAAGCAAAGCTCAGCTATCCTAGTTGCCCATCTCAAAACCCTCGCAGGTGAGCCAGATCGCGACCCGTGCTCTTGCTGCGGCCACCACTTTGCGGGCCGTCGCGGCCGTGCAGGACTCGCCAGACGCCGTGTCCGCCGCTTTGGAAGCCTGGTTCGAGGAGGAGGGCTCTGCGATGTTCTTCGCAGGGTGCACTCCGGACATGGCGGATAACAATGTGGACCCCTTCGCCGAAGAGGCATCCGAGGAGGAGGACGAGAATGACAAGGTGGCATCTACTCAGGCCGGCAGCATCCAGCACGGCATTCGCATGTTGGAGCGCGAGGCTGTCATCGAGCAGTCTTTGTTGGAGGACATGCAGTCGCCGCCCAAGCCCGAGCAGGCTGCAGCTGCGACAGAGACGACAACGGAGGCTGTGGTTGCAGAGACTTTGGCACCGGCAGAGCCTGCGACCTTGTGGCAGATGCTGGTTGCATGATCCTTGCTCGCATCGTTAGGTAAAACAAGGAAGTTGGTTATGATTGAGGCCTTAGGTTCGGACACTTCCCTGACAGCAGGTGGCTTCCACACGTACAAGCCCGCTGCGGACGGCACGCCCGAGGCAGCCGTGGAGAGACTTCGCAAGCTGCAGCCTCTGATGGTGGCACTTCTGGAAAAGGTGCGAACCAGCGAGGGCTTCTTGTCTGAGAATGCCGTGCTGGGCGATCGAAATCCTCGGCGCCTCAATGCATTCCAGGATATGCAAGCACAGCTGGCTCAGGCACGTCGTGCTTGGGGCCTCGCCGGGAGGAGGACAAGCAGAGCTGATGCCTGGAGGAGCTACGCTGGACTGGTTGCGGACAAGGTCCAGGAGGTTGCTCCGGAAGCTGCTTCCGTCGTGGATGTCTATCGTCCCAGCTTTATCTTGAGCCAGTCGGCTCGCAACAGCATAGATTGACTGTTTCCTAGTTCCTCCAAAGTAGTGTCTTCAAGCATCCTGAAGCCCAAAGCCCTCCATGCTTGACCCTAAACCCTAAACATCGCGAAAAGTTCCCAGCCTAGGTGACTCTGGGACCCGTGACTATCAATTCATCGTGGTGCGAGAGCATGTGCTTGGCGAGCCTATGGTTTGCCTTGTGGAAGAGGTGTTCCGCCTGTCGATGCGACGGGACAAGAAAGTCCCTGGCAGCAAGCCGTTTCCGGCTGCACTTCCGCAAGACTTCTGTGGAGGAGTGCACGTGCGAGTCATGGAGCCCTTTCAAGAAGGAGTCTTCAAGACGACCCTGCTGCACAAGCGGATGACATTGGAGTGCCACAGCCTCGACTGCTCCGCCCCGCAAATCTTGTATCAGATCCCGGCATCTCAGTGCAGGGCGGGTGCGGACCCTTACAAGCTGGTGCTCAAGCTAACATCGGCAGCCGTGAAAGCTGAAGGCTGCTGAGGGCTTGGACTTCAAGATGGAGGCCACGGAGGATGCCCGCGAAGAAGGCATGATCTACACGGCAGACATGTTCGGACCCTCTGCAAAGGGAGCTTTGGCCATCAAAAGCTACATGCGAGAGATGAAGAAGATGTATGAGAAGACGTCTGGACAGCCGCTGGCGGACGCCCAGGGCAGGGTCACGGCGATGCGATCCTCGTCGTTTCCTGTCCCTGGAGTTTGGGATGAGATAGTGCAGCGATGCCCGTTGTACTTCGAGCTTTTGCTTTCCACCAAGGATCTGCATGGAAAATCTGTCGCGGCAAACGCCAAGGATTACAGCATGCGGATTTACAGGATCTTCCAGGAAACAGCGCCCACCAAGCTTCGGGGCACTCAGGCTTTTTTGACTTTCCTAAGAAAGCTCAACGACAAAGCTCCGGCAGCGCTGCCGACAGCCTGAAAATCAGGCTTCTTCTTTGACCTTCCTAGGAGGTCGACGACTAGCCTCCGGCAGCGTGACACAGTGGAGAGTCGAGAAAACAAGGCAGGCCGTGTCTGCATTCAGCGAGTGTGCCTGCATTCAGCGAGTGTGCAAGTCGTGCCTGCATTGAGCGAGTGTGCAAGTCGAACACCAAAGCCCGGCCCTCTCCGACCCCCATAGGACGATAACCGGGTGCAGGGGTGGCTGGATACATTAATTTTCCTTGGGGTTACCCAGCAGGTAATGTATCCTGGGGGGGGGGTGTGGAAATCATGGTTGGGGATGGTGATCGAACAAGCTATCCACAACATGTCGTTGCAATGAACGTGTGGATTGATGGAGTGCGCATCCCTCAGTTCCGCATGCAGACCCAGGCGAGTGGCCACAGAGGTGCAGGAGTTGAAGCGTTCTCAGGCGATTTTCGTCCACGGCGGTCGAGTTGCTTTCTTTGCTTGGTACTGCCGGGGTTCGCAGTCAAGTCGCCGTGGGATGTTTGGGGCAAACTAGCTGGATGTTTCTGGCATGTTCTGGCACCAAGAGCTGGTCCCCACAGTATTGTAGGGGTTCGGCCTTCGGCAACTGGTGGTCCAGAGCAACTCATCCTTTGCAACTGCACCAATTCTGTTGTGCTGAGCTCATTTGCCAGGACACGCAGCCAACCGGAATTGGTCAGAGGCTATTGTGACTTTCTTCGTTGTTGCGGGCTGTATATAAACGATGAGTTTGTCAAAGAGTGCATGCTTTCATTGCAGTCAATTTGGGCTCTTGTGAGCGAGACGACAGCATGGAGGCTCTTTTCTACACTTCTTATGCTTTTTAATGTAGTGGTAAGCACGAAAAGCGCAAGATAGTGAAAGAAAAGAACGAAACCAGCCCTTATTGTTATGACTTTCTTACCGTCGCATCCCATTTCTTTCGAATTTGTTCCTTCGTTATGCTATTTCACGTTTCTATCCCAGTCTCTCATTTCATTGCAAACCAGCATGCCCAAAGACCCAAATTACTCGCTTTATCTTCGTATAATGGGGACATGTCCAACAGTCTGGAGTGTTGAATGCTGGAAAAGAGCCCGCATTTCACTGCAAGCATGTGGAGCTGTGTCACAGGCGCAACTCGCAGAGAGCATGGGAGCTGCCGCAGGGTCCGGACGAAAGGCCTGAGCATGATCGCGTATGCAATGCGTCAAGACCATCTTGTTTGGCATCAGCAGTTTCAGGGATGAAGCATAACAATCAGCATCGCCATTACCACTTGCACAACCCCTGCAAGAGTCAGAATGGCACACGGAGCAGCACACGGATAGGCAGGCAGTGACAAGGCTCGACGTCGTGTGCGGTGCAACCAATGAAGCGTTGCTGCTGATGATGAGGCGGTAAAGTTTATATATAACAACAACGACCTTGCAGCATGCAGAGTGCTCATTCGTGATTCTTGCGGTGCGTAAAGAGGCATAGCAAAGTCCCGAGCTAGACCGGCAAGAAAACACAGTGTCCAGCTCCTGAGATAGCTGGAGCGCACTTCGTACGAACTACTGACGAGAAGCTATGCGCACATGCCTGCAGGGATCCTGCCGACAAGACCTCGGTCGCGGAAGGGGACAGGAGCGAACATGTGACACATGGTTTCGTCATGTGCGCAACATATGGTTCCTCGTGACAACGTACTTTCAATGCTGCAGCTGCTACGTGCGTGTAGCAAGGATGCCTAATTTTCTGAAGAAGTCTCGGTGGAGCATGTCTCTAGTCGGCATCCTTTCCGTTGTAGGTTGTGGCACCAGTCGGCTCGGATTGCACACGGTGTCACTCACCAAGAGATGGTCAGATCATTGCCAAACCCGGAACACTGGAAGGAGTTTTGAAGCTAAACTGTCTGTATTGCATTGCAATGCCTGGGAATTCAACTTGGTCTTGGTTTGTGTGGTTTCCGAACGACATGGAATTTGTTTTGCTCAGTTGTCACGTTTCATGCAGCCGTCGTGCCGAGTGTGGCTGCTTGTGTGGCCTTCGTGGGGTGAAGTTTTGTCAAAGATATTGCTCATGTTTTGTGTTCCGAAGGTTGTGGTGTTTGGAAAGGTTCTGCGGGAGAAACATGATAAGAAACGCAGATGTCTGTGCTGACGCTCCCAAACTCCGAACGTCCCCCAGCCACCAGCACTGGTGGGGAACTCTCTGCGGTCTGAGGACACTTTGGTCGAGGGTCAACAGCAGGCACTGATGCTTCTTTTGGGCTGTGGCCGAATGCTGCTCCATCCGTACAGTTTCCCATGCCTTTGGGTCGTCGCAGGCCCTGCTCTGCTATGTCCTGGAAAATTCGCGAGAAGATTCCGACGAGGCATCCTGCACAACAGAGTAGGTTGCATGTTCCGGGCAGGGTGCGCCGGGTGTAGGCAAAGCTTCCTGTGGCCTGCAGCCCGCACCTCAGGCAGGCCAAGAAGCGCGACGACACTGTCAGGCTCAGCGGGGGGGGGGTTGCACATCTCTTGCTTCGAAGAGTTTCAGCATTCAGAGACACGCCCCTTTTGTTAGCTGATGCCCTGTTGCTGCGATCCTCATATTTTGCTGGCCTGACAGCATGCCAAACCAGCCACACTCGGCGTGTGGCACGACAAATTTGAGCAACCTGTGTGAGGCACTGACATGGAGGCGTAATTAGTAATTGACATGTTACTCGAAGCATTGGCTGACTGCTTCTGATTTTTCAGAGAAAATATGGAATGGCTGCATAGGGCCGGATGCAGCGAAACATGCCAGGAAGCAGGATGAGTGGGGGCGAAATGCTCGGAAGCCCGGTCGTAGGCTGCGGATCCTCTGTTCTCGTGCTCCTGCACCTTTGAAAAAAAACCTCCAAGGTCTACTCCACTGTCGAAGGCTTCAGCACATTCACCGAGGATGCAGATGCTTGCATTCCGGCTCTTCAGTCTTTTGACCCCCTGGAGTGCATCGTGCGCTTGCCTGCGGACCTGCGTCGTGAGTAGCGGCTTTCGGCATTGGGGGAGTACATCCTCATGTATCCATCGTGCAGTCAAGGATCCAAGTCGAGTGAAGATGCTGGCGCACTTTCGGATCCGACATTCCCACGAACAAAACGTGAATCTCCGCATGCCCCATGTCAGAGCACGGATCTGGAGTATCCAATGCCCACCCGAAAACAAGGCTCCCAATCTCGTGGCTTCTTCTTCAAGAACCCTGGCAGTGGCCAGTTGACGGCCAGTTGACACTGCGTGATTAGCTTCAAGGAACCAGGCGAACACCTCCCGAATCACTAAGTCCCCCATTCTGAACCGAAGTGTACTTCGCTGAAACCCAACTCTGTCTGACAAGGCGAACCCTTCCCAGCATATGCCAGGAGTCGAACCTCGGAGACCAGGTTTCGCCGACTCGAGAGCTGTTCACCTTTTGATGTTGACTCCAGGTTCGACGTGGATTCCGTTTGGGGTCTAAACGGATTGCTTCATTTCATGCGGATTCAACGTGTCTGGACTGGTACAGCTGCTGCTGCAGACTTCAGCCAGTGGTGATACACCGCGGCCGAAGCCTTGTTTGTCAGATTCCACCGGAAGTGATTCTAATAGTGGCATCAATCCAAGATCTACGCCGCCTTGCCCACCATGAGATGTCCTGGAGCCAGGTGAACAGTCTCGAAGCTGGCTCAGTCTTTGGCGTCCGGGGCTTTTGTTGGGATGGGGTTTTGCGGAGTTTTGCGGCTTTCGAGCTTCCGAGGGATCCACGACATGAGCTTCCTTTCGGTAGGGGTGTCGGGCTCTCTCGGGAAACCCTTCGGTGGCGGGGCGGGCGGACATCTGCCTAGGAGGTGGCGCTGCTCTCGGAAGCCCCGAGAAGTGCCTCCATCAAGCCGGGCCCCGAGTTTCTGTGGAAATCGCACGACGCACCACACATCATGAGGTGAAGAAAGTCAGGGGTGGTAGGATGCTGATGATGATAGGATGATTGTGGCGACGATGGTCATGATGGTGCTGACGGTCAGAGTTGATCTTCAATGTGAACAAAAAGACCCACGGCTATTCTCAGACTGGGAAAGCGTTTGGATCATGTCAGCGAGATTCCATTAGGAGAACCAGATTTTGCTTTGAGGTGTTCGACGGACTGCGAACTTCTTCTGTTCAATGCCAGAGTTTTCCGCAAGGCTCCTGCGCAGCCCGTGGCGGAATTTTGTTTTGCGTCATCCAGCTTTGTGCTCTTCGTGCGGCCATGGCCATAGAACAGAGATAAAGGATAGAGAAAGTCCCGTTCTTCCTCCGTGTACTTGGAAGTAGGACGTGCGGCCACAGAGAGGTATGAGCGAGGATGAACGCTTCGGCTTGGCAGTTGCGAGGTGCTGTCCGAGTTCGTGGACGTTGCCAAGGTCGTTGGTTTATTGCAGTCGGTGCGCGCCTAAACGTTGCACTTGCTCCCATGGGCTTCGAGTTGTGGAGACCATTTCTCAGGCGTATGCACTGTTAGCAAAAAACCCAATAGGCCCCTTATCAGACCGTTTGAGTAGTTCAATCTTGAAGGTAGGTACAAGTGACAAGTGCTCTTTCACTACCTCGGCCTGGCCTAGGTGGATTTCTTCAACAAGATGGAGGCACCGCTCCAACACACGTTTACACTCACATGCTTGATTTTTTGCAGTAGATATGCTCAAGTAGGCTGCCGGATATGCTCATCGGCCCGACAGAAGCCTTTCAACGGGTCTATGCGGGTTCTACAAGAAGGGTTGTAACATTCATATACGGGCTTTGGGAAACAGCATGGTTTTGGGGTATTTCTATTTCAGGAGACGAGCCCCGGTGTTATCCACAAGCTCGGATGCCCAGCCTTTCTGGGTGCTCTTGGACGTCAGCAGCGCCCGCCCGCCGAACCCGGTCAGAGTGTGAGCATCGAACTTGCGTACCAGCTTTGAAGTTTGTTGCAGATTTGTAGCTTGATAGATGCTGCCAGCTCCCAAGCTCCTCCCCGAGGTTGGCAAAGACAGCTGAA